TATTACTAAAACTCAGTTATAAGTATGTACTGATGAGTACAGATGGTATGAGATTTATAATAAATAAGAAAGTAATGTATTTACTAAAATTAATAGAGCAATAAAATGGCATCTTACTGTTGACTAATCTGTAAAGTACATTGTTATAGACAATAATTACATTATCTGAGTCAAGAAGCTTACCACATACCAAATTCACAGGCATACATGGGTTTGGTAGCTCAGTAACCTTAACAGAAGAGGGAGAGTGGCGATGTGTATTTGTGGCATAAAGGATGGTGAGATAGAGAAATAAAAATGATGACCATAGAAAACTAGGCTTAAAAGATTTTGATTTACATCCTTAGGGTCTTTGTAAGGCAGATAAAATACATTGAATGCAATGGAGACAATAGCAAGTTACATGTAGATGATGAAATGATTAGTTTGGTTTTTTTTTTTTTTTTTTTTTTTTTTAGAAAGATATTTCGTCAGTACTCTCTAGAGAAAGAATTCATAAGATATATGAAAGGATTTATCAGTGAACTGACTTATTGATTTAGAAACTGAGAAGTCTCCTGGTAGTTGCTTGTATGAAAGTTGGAGAACCATGATAAATTACAACATGACTGTATTTAGGTCTGAAATCCTGCAAAACAATGGAGCTGATAGTGTAATTCGCAGTACAGCTGAAGGTGCCAGGGCATGGAGGATGAAATGAATCAGGGGCGAGTAACAGAACACCAAGGCTGGAGAAACAGTAGTTCTGAGAACCCCTGTAGCAGAAAAATGATGTTTGGGTTCTAGCAGATTGGTTGATGGCCACTTACACTGAGGGTGGAACTTCTCCACTCAGCCACCAGCTTGTACACCAATGTCACATGAAAATACCCTCAGAGACATAACACAAGGGCTCATTCCTTCTTAGTGTGCATGGACCACTTGGGCTTCCCCTTTATTTACAAGAGGATGGGGTTAGTGCCTACTAAAATATTAAAAACAATTAATTGATTGATTGAGAATCAATAAATACATTTTTGCTAGCTGACTATTTCTTAATTGAGTCAATTTGAGGCCCAACATTAACCATCACAGAAGAAGCAAGGGAATGAAGGCAACCAAAGTCAAAAATGTCAGCTATAAAGTGACTGTACCAATATGAGATGAAGAAACTGAGGTTAATTTTTACAGGCATGTAATGAATGGATGTGTGAGTGACTGTGGCTTATACAGCAATTACAAAGGCTCTGATCAATCCTGATTTCTATGTAACATGTTATAGGTGGGCACTTCCTGATTAAACAGACTTTTCATATATAATAGAAGTTGCCCTCTTTTCTCCTCTTCAAAGATATATGTGTATACTTACATTGTCTTTGATAATCTCTTTGTGAGCAGATAAGTGGACTTTTGCCATTTTGCTCAGTGGTATTCGTGTGGCTGAGTCTTTACACTTCTGTTAAAAGAGGAATCTAGTTAGTATTTCTCACATTTAATATACATGTTAATAATATGAAAAGTTTGGAAGATTCAAATTTCTAATTTAGAAGGTTTTGGATGGTGCCTTAAATTCTACATTTCTAATGTGTTCCCTGGGCAAGGTCAATATCTCTAGTGAAGCAGATTTTGAAGAGGAAAAGGGGAAGAAAGTGAATAAAGTTGTATACTGTGTACATAGACATGTTTATAGACACTTTTGATCAAGCAGGTGATCAAAAGCAGCCACTCAGGGTCACCAACAATGGATTTGATTTCAATTTAGAACCCCAACCATTTTCTTACAGGTTCCAAGATAATTCTGATTGTCTGCGTATTTCTTTTCAGTATATAACTGCATTCCACTTTGTCTCTGTTGGCAAACAGTTTCCTAAAGGTTTCAAAACACATCACTGGACCTTTTCAGGAAGAGTTTTGTAAAGAACCGCCTCATTGTTAGTTGTTCATTAATAGTTCTCTTACTGACAACTTGGATGCGTGCCTCTTAATTTTGCAAGTATTTTAAAATTAAAATCACTTCCAAAGTATTTCAAACTCTTCTGGCAAAATGTCTGCTTGGAAGCGGAATTCTCGACTCTCCTCCCACAGGTCTTTTCTCTTACAGTTCTGTAGACTTGTGGGTTCTCTTAATAGTCAAAAATTCCACGGTACAACCCATGTGTGTTGAAAGACATCTGAAATCACTGACATGCCTCAGGGTCTCAGGATGAAGCAACTATCAGCTTTGCCTCTGTGTAATTGGGCTCTAAATGGAGATCTCCTACTTAGGTTCATTAAAAAAAAAATCCTCTTTCTTCTCTCCTCCTCCACCCGTCAGTTCTTTCTTAGAGGAAATCCATTTATGGTTTGGACACATTTCACAGGGTTCATATTTTCATCTCTCTGGAACTTTCCCAAGCCAAACTCCAATAGGGGGACAATACCTCTTTGTATACATGGCAAAGAAGGTAATCTTGAGGGCAGTGGTTGGTTTTTTATGAGACTTTAAGAAAGACTCCAGCTGCCTTGGAGAAAGAAAGGGTCATGCTTGCTGTGCAGGCACAGACAACCCTCTCCATATACTGGGCAGCTAAGCTGAGATACATAAAAACAAAACAAAAAAACAAAACTAGAGAAACCTAAGCTGACATTAGTTCTCAGAAAGGCTGGGGAACAGAGAATCAGGGATCTTTACTATCACACACCAGATATCCACTCAGGCACCATCAGGACTTTCAGAAGGGCTGTGAGCCTCACTGGACAGCTCCTGCTAAAGTCTAGAAGCTGTGATTCGGGGGCCCTAGTTGGTTTACTGCTTCCTGTTGCTACCAGTCACCTTCTGTACTTGATGTCCTGTGGTTTTTCAACTGTACTGTGCTTATGAATTCGATGTTTAAACTTTTGAATATTACAACTTGAGTTCTCCTAACGTGATTTCACTTTAATTAGGAGTTCAGTCCTCATCAAAACTGGAACTCCTATACTCACCCTGACGATCTCATCACAACTCACTCAGGCGTGTCTGATTCAGATCATTAACCACCCTCATCAGAAATCTGCTTAAGTCTGCCTCACCAAAGAGTGCATATGTTTTCCCTGCCATTTAAAAATTTGCCCACAAAGAGTTAAAGGCATGCATTGGGCCACACAGACTGTGGGTGATCTGACTGGGAACAAATCCTAGGAAACTTGGCTCCTGGTTCATCCAGTACGCCACATGCTCATTGGTTTGATGGCTGTGAATTCACACAGTGCTCATCCTGCAGAAACATGTAGAGGACAGTTCCTTCCATTAGCAGGCTGAACACTTCAGTTTATGTTTTTCAGAATCCCATTCTGACTGATGGTAAATGGACCATATTTTGTTAATGAGAAAATGACCTACAGCTTTACGGTGTATCTTTTCATTACAGATTACAACAATATTTACATTTGTGTCTCTGCCTTTGCCAGGCATCTTCCTAGCAAGTCCCTTTTGATTGCTGCTGCTGCTGCTGCTGCTGCTGCTGCTGCTGCTGCTGCTGCTGGATTCTTCATGGTCTACAATGTACTGTCTAATATTCTGCCAGGGAAGCTCAGCTGTCCTTTGCCTAAAATTTTAAGCTATATGCTACTAAACCTGAAACAGATGCTATCTTGGCTGCTGTCATTTTCTGAGTTTCAATTCACATTTTATACAAGGCAGGTAGAAAGCAGGTAATTTGCTGATTGTCCTGTTTTGGAGAAAGGAAAAATGAGGGAAGATGGAATGAGAGGAGAATAATATATAAATTAGAGGAATAAAACCACTTGGAGACAGAGAGCACAGCCACTGGGACATCCATTATCCTAACATCATGTACTATAGTTTGGCTACTACTGACTTGCCTGGCATCCTCCTGAATCATTTTTGTGGCCACCCAGATTAACTGTGTGAGTTGATCTCTTGATTTAATATCAGCCCGCTTTTTTCAGCTTCTATGTCATTTGCTGCCATTTAAAAGAAAAAAAATTGTACTACTGCTTGTTACTCGGCCATCTGTGTTTTCAAGAGCCCATAGTCTTTTAATCCCCCCTCCCTTTTTCTTCCTTTCCTTGTCATTTTGGTATGGGAACAAGGAGCTAGAGAACATGAAGAAAAAAATTAACCACTCACAGAAAAAGGTACATGCTCAAAGAAAGGGGGGGAGGGGTGTCTTACGGTTTGTGCTTTGTAAGCTGTGGGTGTGACTCAATTTCCTCACCACCCACATAAAGAGGTTGCCACCCAATCGCTGTTTTTTTTTCTCCTCTGTCCCAAACCCCTCCCCTTGGATTTTGGCTGAGAGACCCTAAGAGAGCCTGCCCTTTCTGGACTTTGCAAACTGACATATAAAAGCTGTTAGCTGCTTCTGTAGCCAGCAGCATTCAAACCTTGCAGGCTTTTGCTCTCTGAGAGCTTGTAATAAGACACACTCCTCTTACAAGAGTTCATGCTACAGCTTAACAAAGAAACTTACATTGTTGGAAGAACAGTGTATTCATTTTGGCATTGTGCAGAGGTAAGCTATTTGGCACAACCAGATTCTGTTGCATGCTCTATCTTAAAGCAGCTCATAGATTTTTTTTTTTTAGGACGACTTTCTATGTTCTGTCACTCAGGGTACAGAATGTCTGGGACATATTATCAGAACATTTTCTGTGGCTACCTGTATTTCTCCTTGTCTGTCTCAAGGTCAGCTTGCATTGCTAAAGATTCCTGACTGGAAACAGGCATGCAGTAATATAGCTTGCAGTTCAGGCGTTTGGGAAAAAGGGGCAAAGGGCTTCCATTCATTTTAGGATGAATGGTCACGTGGTTCATTTTTTTTTCTCTAGCTCTAGAAAGTTCCTCTTAGGGGGTTTGATTCATAGCACAACAAAATGAGTAGAAACTACAGTAGGTTCCCTTCCAGTCAACATTTGTTTAAATTTTGGGAGAATGTCAACCCCAGCTGTGCTCCCAAGTGATGATGTTGTAAATCAATAAAATACGGCTTTCTCTCTCTCTCTCTCTCTCTCTCTCTCTCTCTCTCTCTCTCTCTCTCTCTCTCTCTCTCCCTCTCTCTCCCTCTGTGTCTCTGTCTCTGCCTCCGTCTTTCTCTGTCTCTCTGTCCCTCTCCCCCCCTATTTTTTCTTGCTTGCTCATTTTTGTAAAGATCCTAACTCTACACTTTTTTACTTTAAAGCAAAGCAAACCCGGTGGACTTTTTTCCACCCCTCAAAATGACAGCAGTCAGCCTGGCGATCCTTTTGTCCCTTTTCTGTGAAGCAAGTACCGTCGTCGTCTTACTCAATTCCACTGACTCATCTCCGCCAACCAATAATTTCACTGATACTGAAGCAGCCCTCCGCGCACCACTACAGTCTGCGGAGATCCCTAAAGCCAGGCGGAAGCGCTACATTTCGCAGAATGACATGATCGCCATTCTTGATTACCATAATCAAGTTCGGGGCAAAGTGTTCCCACCAGCAGCAAACATGGAATACATGGTAAGAGGAATTCTTTCTTCCTTGAATTCTGAGTGAGAAAGCTTTAATTGCGTGGTAGTGGGATATAAATGGACCGCAGTGCCCATATGCCAGGGGATACAGGGTACATACTTGAACTTGCGAAAGGTTTTAATGCATTTTATAATGTTAAATTGTGTTCTTTCATGAATTGATGTATATGAGAGAGACAGGGGAGGGGATCTACATAGACTTTACTTCTGTGAGTTCCATAATTCCAATGAGCCACATTTTCTATAAGGAGAAAACAAATGGGGTATGCTGACTGCCCACATTTGGAAAGTCATCTTTCCAAGCAGAATTCACGAGGAATTTTTTTTTTTGTGCCTTCTGAATTTAAAAGTCATATTTATCAGTTAAAACATTTCTTGAGAATATTTCTTGAAATTAAAGATTTCATGTGCATGATTTATTCCTGGCTAGGTGTCTCTCCCATTTCTTGGACAAAGTTCTCACCCACACTACTTTATTTGTATTCTAAGAGAACACGCTGGCTCTTTTCTTTCTTCCTTGTGATTTAAGACTTAGTCGTTCAGATAAGGGTGAAGCCAGTGCACTTGCACACGGTTCCAAGTTGCCATGAACACATTCTTTGCTCGCTCTTAAAAATAGACTATGTTTAAATCATTTCACTTTAGAGAGCAAAAATATTAAGTTGGTATTAAAAGGAATGAGTCTGGCTGAGCTTTATTTTTGGTTTTGAAGTCATGCAAAGTTATGATTTAAAGTTCTGCACTTTACAAGCGACAATGTAGAGTCTGTTTAATGCAATGAAGACCACCAATAGTTATCAGCTTCTTGAACCATCTGTTTAATGCAATGAAGACCACCAATAGTTATCAGCTTCTTGAACCATCTACTTTCTCTAAATAGGTTTTTTGCGCCTGTGTCAATGTCATAAGAAACATAGACATACCAAATTAATCTAAGGGAATCATAGTTAATGAAAGTAGTCCAATTTAGATCTTAAAATGCCCTTTACTAGGATTTATTAAATTAACAAAAGACATAATCAGTCCTGGGTATTATCATGTCATGATTAAGACTGTGGATGTGGGAGTTTAAGTGTGCTCCAATTCTAGTCCTGTCCTTTTAAGTGGCATGCGCTCTTTATTTAGGGTCCTCCACTCTCATCTTCTCTAAGATAAGGATAAAGTTAGCATTTGCCACCAGGGGTTGTTGTAAGAAATACATGAGTTGAGGGGCAGAGAAATAAGTCCAGAACTCACAGATACATAGCTGTTCATTAAACTTTAGCTTTATGACTTTCTTTGAACTTTCTGTGAAAGGGGACCCAGTAAGAAGTTATTCAAGTTCTAAAAACAGAAACCTTCCCCCACATGAAGAAGGGTTGCAGTTATACATAAAGGAGCAAATATGTTTCCAAAGCTACTATAGATTGTGAAAGAAGTAAACATTGAGTTCTGTGAGAGCTCAGAAAGGTACAATACCTAGACTATAAGATCAGGGAGTGCATTCTGGCTATGATCACATTGATACAAAAACTCAAATGATGACCAAGACCACTGAGCCAGGTATGGGAGCAAGCTCCTCTTGGTTCAGATCATGACTGTGCTATTCACTATGACCTCACATGTTACTCAATGGCTCTAAGACCTACTTTGCTGTCCCATTCTTATAATGGGAATAACAGTGCACACAATAAGCAATCAATAAATAATGAAATAATGCAAGTCACTATGCTAATAACATTGAGGGCAAAGAGGTCAACAGGCACAGAGGCATAAATGGTTACAACACAGTAGAAATCAGTAGAAAAAAATTTTTTCTCATTAGATCTCCCCTTATCAAGGATTAAATCACTTCATATGCATTTATTTAATTGCTTCTATGTGCCAGAGTCCATGCTAATTGTTTCCACAGATGACCTCATTTGATAGCCCACATTTGCTATCTGAAGTTGAGATTGTGATCACAATTTTCCAAATGAAATCACTTAGACCCAGAGATGTTAATGACTAAACCAAGATGGTGTGGCCAAAGAGTGATATTGTCCAGACTGACATTGTGGTGGGGATGGGTCTCTTCATTTGTGAGATACAGCACTTGTCCACTGAAGGGTATCTCCGAGAATATCAGGATATGTTGATCACCTCCATAAAAATTGCAGAAGAGATCATAAATTATTCTTTTCTTGTTTATCCTTCTCTCATTGTTTCTTCTCAGGTATCAGAATCCCTACATCTGATTTATTTTGCAATAACCCAGCACAGGGCTAATTATTATAGTCTATATTCACAGATCTCCCTTAGTTCAATGAATGCGATGAAAAACCGTAGCCCAAACACTGTGCTCTATAAAACAAAACAGGGACAATTTGGAAATCTGTGTTTTGAAGTCTGCATTTTCACTGTTTACTTAGCATCGACTGTAGGCTGGCACTTGTCTAAGCCCCAACATACATTCTTGAACAAAAGCATCAAACGTCCTTGGTTTCTGGGTGGTAATAAAACAACAAACCAGATAACTGAATCAACTAGAGCAGGCCAGAAAGTAATGAGGTCATGAAGATAAAGCTTGTGTCTAGGATTAGGCATGCACTGGGGTTGTTGGAGAGTGCGACCTGGGGACAGGTAGAAGAGAATTCCTGTTTACAGATGAGGGAAGTCACAGAGGAAAGAGCAGGACAAAGGGCCAGAGGCAGAGAAAAAGGACAGGTTTAGAAATAGCCTCACTTTCATGATTCTATGGTTCACTCCATCAATAGACATGCTTCAACTGGGTCCCATGCAGTGAAGTTCAATGGCAGGCATGTATTAATAGGTAGCATGAAGGTTAGTGCAATTATTCTGAGTGACTCAACTATTAAGCTAAGTGAAAATATGGATCTCAGTGGGACTCTGTTACCTTTACTTTAACTGACTCAACACTGATTTGAATTGGCATCAGCTGGAAAGCTAGATCAGTTCCTAACCTGTACCATACACCTCAGAAACGCATGGCATGTTTATTGCACTACTTCACAAATACTTGCTCTCTGAGTCACCAGCTGCATGCTCAATTATCCTCTCCAGTGTGTGTTGCTGCTCTGGAAAGCTTCACAGAAAGTGGGCTTAGGCTCAGTGCTTTCTCTAGTTTCCCTAGACTGCCTTGCAGTTCCTTTATTCTCCTCCAGTGCTCTGAGCCTTTCATTCAGTTTCTCTCCTCCCAAGGTCTCCTGCTTGACTAATTCATGTATCCTATTTAAGATTTTTGCATGAGAATAGCAGTTCCTTGAAGGACATTTTTATGCCCACAGCAGTGGGCACCTTATCTTTTCTTTAACCTGCCATGCCTTCTGTGCCATCCATGTCTATAGTACTGTCCTCATCACAACCAAACTTGACAAATAGTCATCTGTTCACTTATTGCTAACTTTCTAATTTTAGGGCTATAGGGTGCTAAGTTAATAATTATTCACTTTAGTCTCTCTATTGATTTTTAAAAGCCTTTGTGTACAAATAGCGAGCACCCATTATTTATTGCATTTAGACAAAAAACCCAATTGTTATATGTTTATAAACAGCACCAGTTTTGATACCATTATAAATACTTTTAGCATTTTCCACCGCAATATTTCATCACACACACTTGAAATAAAACAAATATTTTATGAATTCTTTAGAACCTCTTAAAATTAAATTCCTTAAGTAGTTATCTTAGATCATGTACAGTTAAATGAAACAAAAGAAATTTGATCACCAAGATTTACATTCACAAAATGGTTATGTTCCATTTTTATATAGTACCTGTGACTTTAATAAAACACACATTGTGTGCAATACTTAGGTTTCTGAAACAGAGTTTTTACACAAGCAACAGTACAGATAGAACCTAAAATGTGCAAGGGAAACCTTTGCACTCTTGGCTCCCATTCTTCAATTAGCTTCTTGACTAATTTCCAGGATGCTTTGGACACCAGCTGCTTTTCATTCTTCATAAGGGCAGCTTAAACTATGACTCTAAACCACAAACCACATTAGTTTCTTAGAATAAAAATTATCCCCCAAAGAATGAATTTGCAAAACTCATACAGAGTTCAGTTTGTAGGATGTTCTGATTCAGAGCAATTGAGTAAATTAATTTGAAAAACAACTGAAACCTCTCCATGAGAGGAAGGAATCCAAAGATAGGAATCTTTGTCTTTTTAACAGTGCAGTAAAAACAAAACAAATAGGGGGTAAAACCACCAAGCATATAATTCAGTATAATGCCCTGCTGATGTAATAAACATGAAACAGACAAACCATGTGAAAGAAGTGGGGATGGAGCTGATAATCTCCAGCTGGAAAATGATGAAGAAATCTGTGGAAGAGGATCATGGGGCACTGATATTCTCGAAGAGGTGTGGTGGCTGTGATTGAAAAGGAAAGCAATGGGTGACCCAACCATGAGCACAGGATTCCCAGGAGGTGTAGAACATGCCTGATACAAGAGAAATGAAGAAGAGCATGACATTTGAGATCAAGGGCAGAAGGGAATCCTAGACAGACGGCTTGAGCAGACTTATGAGGTGGTGACTGCTGAGGAGCAGTACCTGATTTTTAGGTAAGAGTAAGGAACACTAGAAGTTCCTGTGTACAGAGTGAGGAGGAGAAGGAAATAACTGAATTGCAGCACACATGGTAGGAATCTTCACAAAAAGGCAGGTTGAGGACAACATGCTGGCAATGCTGGACACGGGCTGGAAAAGAAGATAATAATGAAATCTCAGGAAACTCAAATCGCTTTTGTCATCAGATGACATATTACACTGTTTGGTGCCTACAAATCTGAGTTGCTGAGATAAACATAAAAGGTATCTTGTGTTCTTCTGGAAAAGGGAAACATATCTATTACCAAATAGTAGTAGGTAATAAAGTAACAGCATGATTCAGTGAATGAATGTGGCAATTAATCCAGCCTCAGTAAAGGCCAACACATTGTTGGCCTAGAATGCTAGTTTGTGACTTGGGAATAACGAAAATGCTAATTTAATTTAT